CTTTAACACTATCCGTGACGGCCTATTTTTATTTTCTCAGTGAGTGGGGAGGGGGGGGGCTTTATGGCCCCTCCTTTTTTTTTAATATACTAGTGAGAGAACCTGTTGTTAAAATATTTGAATCCCACCACTGCTAGTATGTAATTGGCCGTTGCTGTTGCCACCGTCAGAAAGGTGGCAATAAAATTAAAAGCCCCTGAGGTGTCAACTAGCCGCTTCGCAATTAATAATTTACACAGTTGCTTATTCATAGTTCTAACAAGTTACATGCTTCTTGATGGGGTGTTTGTATTACCACCCACTGGCATAAAGGTATGTCTGCGGACTTACAACGCTAGAAACTGGGTGTTCTCTATCGTGGTGGGCAGAGCACGGAAAGCCCTTTGTGTAGCTTTGTTCTAAACTACAAACAAAAGTGTTTGTATTACATTAAAACGATGGATAATAGTATTAATAACCCTTTTTTTTTCAAAATAAATTATAACTTGCTTCACAAATACTGTTCAATTTAGCATTTATATTTTAACAACACTTTCGATATTTACTTGGCACTGTTTACAAAATAGCAGCTTCTTCAACATTTTGACTGTTTAACGTTTGTAACTTACAGTTACATCACTTTAGCCTATTTCAATCCAAATACATTTCTATCTAAAAAAATCTCATTACAATAACAGATTTATCAGTCTGTGACGTAGTCAATTATTTATTTCGTTATGGTTTTGTTTACCATTCGTATATTATTCCTTCGTTATAAATTTTTCGTTACGTTAATTAAAGCGCTAACTCACCTTCTACATACATGTTAATTTTGAGCACATAAGTATTATGAAACTGACTAAAACTCCCCCTAGCGGTGACGTTCACCGTTAGTATTGTGAAAGATTATGTAGATTTATGATAATAGGCAGTCACATGAGATGTAACCTCGTGATCTAACCATTAAATAAATATATATTTATATATAAAAAAACTTCCCTGATCTTGAAGACGAGTTAGTTTGAGATGTAGTTTGGAAGATTTGATTTAATGTTGTGTTATTCTCTAGTGAATGAGGTTTTTTATTTTTTGGTTAATAAGGAGAATACTACATAAAATATGCCCTGAATACATCTCATTGTACTATAACTGTTTAATACACAATACTATAAATAAGTAAACTTATTTGCCATACTGTTTATTTATATGAATAACTACATCTTGACTTCCTTACATTTTATTTAATTAACTATGTAACATTTAAATTAATAATTATTATCACAGAAAGATGAAATTAATAGAGTTTATAGTTGTATAAGAATGTGTACATTTATCTGATGTTGTTAAGTTTAATTAAGAAACATTGCAACCAACAGTGAGTAGTATCAGACAAACTCCAGTTCTGAAAAACCTATATGTAAAGTACAGACACATTTGTAAAAGAAATTAGGGAAAACAATTTCAGTTCAACAGACAGGAAGGATGTGTTGCAGATAGCAAGGTAAATTGTATGAATCCAGCCTTTGCAATGATAAAATCTGGGGTTTGATTCCCGATGGAAAACAGAATGCAAACAGCTCATTATATAGCTTTGCACTAAAATAAAATATACATATAAGCAGAATACACCTATTCAACATATATATATATGGTATTATGTACTAATTCTAAAAAAATACACGTTTTCAGAGCATATATTTATGTTATAACTGTATTTTTCGTATGTGTTTTGCAATTATTGTCATCATGTTAAATTTTCATGTGCTTGTCATCATTCTCTTAAGCACATCCACGATATATTTGCTTGTACAAATGAGTTGTTTTGACTTGCATCCATTTTTAACACTTATTTTTACCATTACTGATTTTTAATGCAGTGTTATAAGATCAAACCTTTACAGGGTACTAGATGCCAAATTGTCCTGTTGTAAAGCTCTGAATTTCGGAACTGTAAAACCAGGTTCGAATTCACGTGATACCACAAAACATTTCTCGAACTTTAAGATGTAAGAGTATTATAAGAGTAACAATAAACCCTTTATCTTGGATGGTGAGTGGTAAAGTGCTGCTCTAGCCCATATTGTTTCCTTCTAAAGCTGCATAAAGCTCTTAACAGCTTGTATTCATTGTGTTTTCATATGGTAAATGGTGTAGTACCATAATCTTAGTTATATAATGCTACAGAACAGTTAACATTTGTATGTGAAGGTGTCACATGCAGGCGTACTACATGTTTTCTATCATCTTGTTTGACATACAAGATGACAACTAATTTTAATTTACTGCCTACAAACTTTACAATCTCACTGTTGAGAATTTCTTAACGTTTTCTGATTTCTAAACAACAACAACAAAAACTTACACATCTCGTAGACGTCACATCCCTCTAACAAATAGACAAAAACGCAGTTTTACAAAAATATCTTTAAACAATAAAAATAGCACAGAAGTCATATTCAAAATATTAATGCTCTAGATATGGGTGAGTCAAAGTATGCGTGTTACAGCGTTATATTCAAAATTTAATTAAACAACTTTATTTTCAATATACACGTGTCAATAAACTTGGAATTGACTCTATATACGTATATACATGGAGTGGTAGCTCACAATATAATATATGTATAAAGTCAAGACATAGGGTGATAGTATGTGCACAAGAGCTGGCTTATGATATACCTCTACGTTACTATATACCTCTATAGTGTAGAAATTTATAATTACGCCATATAACCATGTCAACAGATTTTCATAAATGGGTAGAAAGAGAATCTCAACGTGGGTTGAAAGATAGTGAACTACGAGAGTTTGTTCAATAACAAGAACTGGAAAGAGAAGAACGGCAACAGAAGACACAAACTGAGAAAGAAGAAACTAGAAATAGAGAGAATAAGAGCACAAATTGAGATAGTAAAACTCACCCAACCGAAAGAAGGACCCAAAAATGACAATGGAGTCGGGGCTAGCTGCACATATTTGATGAACATAAAGGTAACATGGAGGTTTTCCTGGAGAGATATAAAATATTTGTCTAAAGTCAGACAAAGGCGACTGGGCAGTCTGTCTCAGCCCACTTCTCCCAGGAAAAGGCCTACAAGTTTATTATGCAAGCATGACGTCAGAAGATACCATGAATTATGACAAATCAAAAGTAGCTTTACTGAAACGATATGAACTTATTGACGAAGTTTTTCGTCAGAAGTTCAGAGGAGTCAAACTCGACACTGGAGAAACTGTATTTCAGTTTGTGGCACGTCTGCAATAATATTTCTCCAGATGTACTGACATGGCCATGTGTGAAAATAGTTTTAAGGGTCTGGCAGACTTATTAGCACATGAATAGCTTATGACCACGTGTTCAACTGACATGTCACTGTTTCTAAAGGAGAGAGCATCAAAAGATGTAGACAAGATGATCAAGCTGGCAGAACAGTATACGGAAGCCCATGGAGATAATATAACTGGCAAGCCCAAGAATGTCCAGATAAATTTGAAACCAGTAATGGCTGACCAGAAGCAGGAGTTTACCAAAGGTGCAGGAGGTTAATAGACAGAAGGGAGAAAAGATGCTATGTTTGTTATAAAATGGGGCACATTGCAAAGCAGGTCCATTACCAGCAAACAGCAGCAGAAACCTCAACATAAAGCAATTGGAGATATTTACAAAGACAGTGCTGGTAAGAAACAAGAAAAGTGACTGGTATTATGGATGCTGTTGCCAGAAGAAATAGAATCAAGACTACTTGTTAAATTCAATACAAGAAAACATAATTGATCAGTGCCAGACTAATGGTTGGCTCAAATTAGCAAATGGATCAACAGTGCCAATAGTGATGGCTATGTTGGGGACAAGAAAGTGAAGGTTCTATGAGACACTGAGTGCAGCAGTGAGAACCAGTCCAGTATCCAATGATCAGATGACAGATAAGGTATGCCTGTGTGTGCTAACTGATGGGACAGTGAGAACATTTCCCATAGCAAAAATAAAGGATGTGGATACTCCATATTATGTAGGAGATCTTGAGGCCATGTGTATCAAGGAACCAATATCGACTTGGTGTAAGGAAACAAACCAGGTAGTAGAAATTTTGAGGAACTAGACAGAAATAATATTGAACATTTTCTGCTGTCACCAGAGCTCAAGAAAAGCAAAGCAAACAAGACATCAAGCCCCTGCAAGTGTCAAAAGGCGATAACTCGAGTTTAGGTTTGCAAGAACTGAAGGAAGCACAGAAGAAAGACCCTTCACTGCAGAAACTTTGGGACAATGCCCGGAAGAAAGTCAGCAAAGGGAAAGGATACTTACAGAACAGAGGACTGGAAGGGAGTTCAATACCGAATCCATCAAGGCAATTATACTGGAGAAGTTAAACAGATCATAGTACCTACAGATTATCAGACTCAAGTGATGAAGTTGGCTCATGAATAAATTGTGGGAGGACAGTTAGGAACAAAGAAACATCAGACAAAATCACCAGCAATGTCCATTACCTAGAGGGAAGGTAGCCAAAATGTCATTGGGGGAGATGCCTCTCATAGACGAGCCATTCAACAGAGTAGTTGTGGACTTGATTGCACCACTATTGCTTGTGTCTGACAAGAGCAACCAGTATGTTCTGACAGTAGTCGACTATGCAACACATTATCCAGAAGCAATAGCACTGGCGAAGATAGAGACAGAGAGAGGAGCAGAAGCCCTTTTTGAGATATTTTGCAGAGTAGGCTTTCCAAGAGAAATCCCGAATGATAGAGGGACCCAGTGTAGTTTAGAACAGATACAGGAAGTGTGCATACTCATCAGTACTCGGCAACTATTTACCACCCTGTACAATCTAAAATGTAATGGACTTTGCGAGAAAGTCAATGGAGTTTTAAAGAGTATGTTAAAGAAGATGTGCCAAGAGAGATCACATGACTGGGACAGGAACTAGCAAGCAGTATTATTCACTTATTGAGAAGTCCCACAAGCAAGTACAGGATTTTCATCCTTCGAGTTACTGTATGGAAGAACAGTATGAGGTCCAACGCAAATATTGAAAGAGCTATGGACGGGAGAAGAAGAGTCAGAGGTAAGAAACACATACCAGTATGTGTTAGACCTCAGAACAGACTGGAGGAGACCTGTCAACTTGCTTGACAGAGTTTGTATGCAGCTCAAGATAGTCAGAAGCATTTTTATGACAAGAAGGCCAAGGATCGACATTTTCAGGTTGGACAAAAGGTCTGAGTTCCGCTGCTCACAGACTACAACAAACTCACTCTGCAATGGAAAGGGCTTTTAGAAGTACTCAACAGAATGTACTACAAAGTGAATGTGAAGACCAAGAAATACCATGCCTATCTGTTGAAAAAGTATTTTGGGAGAAAAGAAGACCTAATGGTGGAGCTATTGAAACAAAAATGAATGTTGCAGGTGTGGCCATCCTAGATACAGAACCAAAAAACAGTGACTTTGTCTTAGAAGATGACGACCTACTGGACCTAAGACCACTAGGTGGAGATGAAACAAACAAAGATGTGAACATCAGCAAAGAATTGGCTGGCAAGCACAAAAAAGGTGTTACAAGACCTACTTTGTCAGTACACAGATATCTTCACAGATAAACCAGGAAAGAAGGATATTGTGCAACACAAGATCGAGACAACAACCAGAGATCCAGTCAAAATCAAGCCCTATTAGATGCCTTATGCAATGAGAGGTCTGATAAAGTAGGAAATTGAGGCAATGTTGGAAACTGGAATCACCAAGCTTTCAAATTTAACATACTGTTCACCAGTTGTAATCGTGAAAAAGAAGGACAGATCAAACCATTTCTGCATAGACTTCCAGAAGCTGAACCTCGTGACAAAGTTCGACTCTGAACCTATGGGCAACTCAGAGATTTTTGGTGATCTATATTTAAATATTGATATTGTCATATAGAGTTTAGTATAGTTTGAAAATTAATGTAATTTGCTTATTGATTAATCACCAGTTTCATTAATCAATTACGTGTAACTAATCAATTCTTTTCACGAGACTCATATAGCTGGAATAATCAAAAACAGTAATAATCTGAAAACCTAATTTTGATTATTAATTTAATGGTTATTTTCATTAATTAATTATTCTACATAACACTAATCAATGTACTCCATGCTCATAGATAACCAGTTGATCATGTTAGTCAACCAGTTCCAGTATACTTACATTACAACTCTTCTTAAATAAATGGTGTAATATTAAAAAAATGAAAACATATTGCTACGACATTCTGTTATAGTAATAACAATTTCCACGACAAAATTTCAATTAATGTAAACCCTGAACAATATTGTTCTCATAAATATGGCTGATGTGTTTGATATTAAAAGTAAATTAAAAAAACAACACTTGAAGCTTACTTAGTGAATAAATCACCACAGAAATCTTACCTGTATGGTTAATTATTTTTTTTATCTTAAAAACAAAATATGTATTTCATTTAGAACATGTACAATTTGAAAATTATAACTATGAACAAAACAAAATGTTGATAATTATGTGGAGATTTCCCCCCAACCATATGTATGATACCTATATTACATAGTCCAAGTCTTCCGACACAGCTATTACCTGGTATCTTCAGGCCAGTTACTTTGGCATTTTGTAAATATGTATTACCTTAATACTTAGCCATATGATATCTATACACTAACACTGAGATGACTATACATTGACATAGATATTACAACTGTATCATACCTCTACTGTAATGCAATCTATAATGACTTTTACTATAAAATACCTAGCCAAAGACATCACAGTTGTAACTATTTCCTCCTTAAGTAATTTGATGTATACAAGTTACGGACACTACAACTGCACAGTTTTTCCTCAGTGTGAATAAATAATCTTGTTTTCAGTTACCAAAGCATTCAACATTGTTGCTATGTTCGGCACAATAGTGATTTTATTTGCCTATTTAAATATTTTATTGTTAATATAGCTTTTAAATTCTTAGTAACACACACAATAAATGTCTTTTTTAATGTTTACAGTAAAAGAATTATAGATAATGTTTAACATTCTCCATCACACGGGATTCATCTTTATTGTTTTTACCAACTATGGATAAATTAATATTATCTAAGGTGACCATTATTTCCAAAATATTTAGAACACACTAAACATCCATTAGGTGTATCTTCTCATGTCTTTTAAGATTACTACTGCTTCCAAATTGCTTGCCACAAACAACACAACTGTATGGTTTCTCTCCGGTGTGTATTCTCTGGTGTGATTTCAGATAAGTGCTACTTCTGTATTCTTTCCCACACACTGCACAGCTGTATGGTTTCTCCCCAGTGTGTATCCTCTGATGAGATTTGACGTAACTATTTCTTACAAAGTTTTTCCCACACACTACACAGCTGTATGGTTTCTCTCCAGTGTGTGTCCTCTGATGAGATTTGAGATAACAATTTCTTGCAAATTCTTTCCCACACACTACACAGCTGTATGGTTTCTCCCCAGTGTGTATTTTATGGTGTCTGTTAAGCAGACTATTACTTCCAAATTTTTTACCACACACTGCACAGCTGTATGGTTTCTCCCCAGTGTGTGAACAATAATGTATTTTAAGTTGACCACTTGTTCTGAACTTTTTACTACACACTACACAACTGTACGGTTTCTCCCCACTGTGTATCATTTGATGTCTTTTAAGCTCACTCTTAATTCCAAATTTTCTACTACACACAACACAACTGTATCGCTTCTCCCCAGTGTGTGTTCTCTCATGTGATTTTAAATTACTATTACATCGAAAAGCTTTGCCACACACTGCACAGTTGTATGGTTTCTCTCCAGTGTGTATTTTTTCATGCTTTTTAAGTTCTATGTTTTCTATAAATTGTTTGCCACACACTACACAACTGTAAGGTTTCTCCCCAGTATGAATTCTTTTGTGTATTTTGAGCTCATAAGTCCTTACAAATTTTTTTAAGCACAGTCTACAACTGTATGGTTTCACCCCAGTGTGAGTAAACTGATGCCTTTTAAGATGGTTATTGCATCTAAATTTTTTAGAACAGATTAAACAACTGTATGGTTTCTCCAGTGTGTGTATCTTCTGATGAACTTTAAGTTTACCAGTACTTTGAAATTCTTTGCCACATACTGTACAATTGTATGGTTTCTCCCCAGTATGTGTTTTCAAATGTATTTCAAGTTCACTACTTCTTCCAAACCATTTGCCGCACACTACACAACTATTAGGTTTATCTTCAGTGTGGGATACTTTAGGTTTTATTTGGTCATTTCCCAGAGTTATGTCAAACACATCACTGCTCCTTGTTTTCAGAAATCTGACATTTTTTATCTCTGTAAAGAGAGAGATTTTTTATGTTAAAATACAATATTCAGGAAAAACTGTTTACTACAATAACTGTTTAAGTAAATCTTTTGATCTACAGTTAAAAGATGAATTTGAATAAATACAATAATTAGTAGATATAACATACATCAACTTTCCAAATGTTTTATAACATGTTTTAAGAAAACAAACTGGAAAATAAATATTAAAAACAACCTTAAAAAGGGACACACTAAACTTAAACGGATGAAATGATGCTGTTATTCCTTCAAAATGTAAAACAAACAGCTGGTTATGTAACAAGCAGTGATTTCATAGCTCTTACCCCCCCATTTCTTTATAGTACTGAAATCGGAGCAATTCCTCGGTAAAGTTGATGTAGTAAAATGTATTCAAGAGGAATATTTATAGGCTTTCTTTTGAAAGGAATATGCTTTATTTGGAACTGTATTTATAGAAAAAAAAAAGACTGACAATACCTATTATTTTTTTTGGGGGGGGGGGTAATATGGAAAATATAATTACTTCTTTAATTTTAATGTGCACTTGCCCATTGTACCTTCACTGTATTACAGTGTCCTAATAATTTAAAAGTTGTAAACACAATGTGGAGATAAAGCATTTCACTTGTCAAGAGCAAAACATGTTTACACTGAGATATCTGTTTCATTCTGAAATGAGAAACAACCTATATGACAAAAAGGTGTAAATGAAACTATATTCAATATGTAACTTGATGCTAGGAGAAGGTTTGTTTGTTTGTTTTGAATTTCACACAAAGCTACACGAGGACTATCTGCTCTAGCCGTCCCTAATTTAGTAGTGTAAGACTAGAGGGAAGGCAGCTAGTCATCACCACCCACCGCCAACTCTTGGGCTACTCTTTTACCAACGAATAGTGGGATTGACCGTCACATGATAATGCCCCCATGACTGAAATGGCGAGCATGTTTGGAGTGACAGGGATTCGAACCCGTGACCCTCAGATTGCGAGTTGAGCACCCTAATCATCTGGCCATGCCGGGCCACTAGGAGAAGGAACTGATGATTAGGAGATTAAAATGATTGAGAAATGAAAAATTAACAAAAGTTGTACGTGTCTTCTGTTAGGATTTACTAAATGTCGTAGCTAAGAAACCAAGAATCTAACATTCTCTATTCGTGTAGGAACATCACTCATGTTGACACACGCTTCCATGAAAGCTGTCATGGAACATAAGCTCATCTAAGACATGACAGCAATGAAAACAAGTATTTCACAAACAATACGTTAATTTCTTATAACACATTATAAAAGACTCTAAACTTGGTGGTTAGCCTGAAGGCTTGCTCCATTTTCCAATGCATAGCAAGAAGACTTAAATAAAATTACTAAGGATTACTTAAAATACTCAAAACTTTATACTTCTGTCATCCTTAGCCAACCAATGTCAATTCTGACTTGCGTACAACTCTTAATGTCATACTGCTGGACTTTGACAGTGGGCAAACAAAACCAGTAACCCACAGTACCCATATTCATAATACAAAATCATGCTAGCCTTGTCAATTCTGTCAAGAAACTGTTTAGCATACACATTTAATAGACAAGCAAGTTGACTCAATCTATGAAGATGTAGACATCTTTCTGAATGATCTTTAGCCATATAAAATAAATTAATAACCACAAGCTGATCTGAAATCAATAAATATCAATGATTATAAAAGTGATATTATAACAATGTTAACATACCTATAACCATAAACTTTCACCTGATAATAAAAGACCAGTGAAATAACTGAGTTTTCTATATTCTAGTTATAAAAAAGCTCAACTAATAACTGACACCCACGAGTTCATTTTCATGTAAAATAAGTATCAGATGACCAATCATGAGATCTGAAAATAAATGTCTATAATTTTATTTAAAATGATTGGATCAAACTCTTATCCCAGCAATTCACACCTAATTTCTTATTTTATTTCAAATGTTTAACCTCTGACATGTATACACTGCCCAATCAGTCTTTGAATACATTTACAATGCGACAGGGGCTTCTAACAAAAAGACTCACAAGCAGCAATATAATCAGTGTATAATTCTGTGTTGTACAGCTTAATCTATAACTAGTAATATTTCATGACTGACTATCTGTTCCATATTCATAACCATATACTTACTATACATTTGCTTTGTCTCTCTTAAGTGCAAGATCACAACTGTGTTTACAATCATTATTAATTCTGAATTCCTTATCATGTATAAAGTATACAACCATAAGGTTTATGTGAAGAAAGTAAACCTCTAATATCGTACGTACAGTATAAAACTGTAAGGTTTATCTAAAGAATATTTACTTTCTTCAGATAAACCTTACAGTTGTGTACTGTGTGTATCATATTAGATGTATATATTCTTTAGATAAACCTTACAGTTTTATACTGTACGTACGATATTAGAGGTTTACTTTCTTCAGATAAACCTTACAGTTGTGTACTGTATGTATCATATTAGATGTATACCTCTAATATCGTACGTACAGTATAAAACTAAGGTTTATCTAAAGAATGTATACCTCTAATATCATATGTACCATGTACAACTGTATGGTTTATCTAAGATAAATTGATACCCATTGATTGTTTGTTTGGAATTAAGCACAAAGCTACGCCAACCACGGGTACCTGGTTTCTAGTGTTGTAAGTCCGCAGACACACCGCTGTGCCACTGGGGTGCGATACCCATTGAACTGCTTTTCATGATGGTTGTTCTGATAGTTCAATGGACCTTCATGAAATTATATAGTAATTATCAAATAGAACACACGTTAATCTAGCAACTTCCCTGTTAGTGTTAACAGTAATCTAATAAACACGATAACATAAATTAACTGTATACATGGAATTATTTAATAACTTCAACAGTTTATTTCAAGATAACTCCATCATAAGATATTTCTATTTCTGTCTCATGACACTTCTGCTAATCAACAATACACTGTTCTCGGCTAAAAGGTCAGCCGTACATAAATACATTTAAGTTGTTTTTATTCTATTTGTTACATTTATGATGGTTAGTTCAGAAATTTCTTAATAAACAGCTAACAGGAATTAATCATATATTTCATTATTATTTTTAAAAATAATTTGTCACATGTTGTGTAGTGACTATTTTATTCGAAACCTTTGTCACACAATGAGCACAATTTTACTGTTTCTTCCTAGTATATGTGTGTACTCTAGGTAAAATTTGAAGATGACTACCTTTACGTTGTTTACCACATGTCGTGCAACTATATATGTGTATCCCATCATGCACTTTTAGCTCACTATTTCTTCCAAATTCTTAGCTATATATTACAAACAGTGTGGTTTGTATTTTCTCATGACTTCTTTTTTCCATACTCTTGCCACGTGTTTCACAACTATACGGTTTCTCCCCAGTATGTATCCTCATATGTTCTCCTAGGTGACTTCTTCCAAGCCACAATGAATCCTATTTAGATACTATCTTGAACTATGAAAACAACACATATTTTACATTACGACATCGTAGCAGAAAAGTCTGGATTTTTGGAAATTATTTTCAGCATAATTTTATCTAAAAGGATTCTACCTGGAGGGTTGGTAGACAGTGTACTCTGTGTATATCCTGGAGGGTTGGTAGACAGTGTACTCTGTGTATATCCTGGAGGGTTGGTAGACAGTGTACTCTGTGTATATCCTGGAGAGTTGATAGACAGTTTTCTCTGTGTATATCCTGGAGAGTTGATTGACACTACACTCTGTGTATATGCTGGAGGGTTGGTAGACAGTATACTCTGTGTATATCCTGGAGAGTTGATTGACACTACACTCTGTGTATATGCTGGAGAGTTGATAGACAGTATACTCTGTGTATATCCTGGAGGGTTGGTAGACAGTATACTCTGTGTATATCCTGGAGAGTTGATTGACACTACACTCTGTGTATATCCTGGAGAGTTGATTGACACTACACTCTGTGTATATGCTGGAGAGTTGACAGACAGTGTACTCTGTGTATATCCTGGAGGGTTGGATATACACAGAGTGTAGTGTCAATCAACCCTCCAGGATATACACAGAGTATACTGTCTACCAACCCTCCAGGATATACACAGAGTATACTGTCTACCAACCCTCCAGGATATACACAGAGTATACTGTCTACCAACCCTCCAGGATATACACAGAGTATACTGTCTACCAACCCTCCAGGATATACACAGAGTATACTGTCTGTCAACCCTCCAGGATATACACAGAGTATACTGTCTACCAACCCTCCAGGATATACACAGAGTACACTGTCTATCAACTCTCCA